GTTTGGGTTTTTTTATTTTAGATCTTTCAATATGGCTACGATGGCTAAACAAGGATGGAATATCTTGTCTAAACCTCATACTCTAGTCTTCCGAATATTTAAAGCAAGGTATTTTCCTATAACCTCTTTTTTCGATGCAAAACTTGGTTATAAATCCTAGCTTTGTTTGGAGGAGTATTTGAAACGCTAAAGAAATTCTAATGCTAGGTTGCAGGTGAAATATAAGAGACGGTAATTAGATTAAAGTTATGAATGAACTTTGACTTCGAGGAAGTCAAGAGGGAAGCCTAACTGGACCGCAAAAGCAAAGTGTGTATAATATTAACGTTTATAATCTCATGTTACCTAGTGTCAAACAGTGGAATATGAGAGTATTACATGATTTGTTTGATTATGCAGTTGTGGATAATATTGTCCATGTACCGTTGGTGGAGGAAGTTACAGAAGATAGGCTGGTGTGGGAATGTGGTAGTTATAGTGTGAGATTTGGATATAGATTATGGCAGAAGACCAAGATGCGTAATTCAAATACGAGTATGGCGGTAAATTTGAACAACATGTGGAACATAAAAGCCCATTCAAGAGTTAAGAATCTGATGTGTAGAATTTGCAAGGATTGTTTACCTTCTAAGGTGCGACTCTATCATCATCATGTCCCTTGTGCGTCATATTTTCCCATTTTGTGATAGTAATAGTGAAGATGATTGTCACATCTTCTTTGGGTGTTCAGAAGCGAATATTTGTTGGCTGGCAGCATGCTTGAGTCATATTATCGATCACAGATTACTGGTTTTCCATGATGTAAAGTCGGTCATTTTTATATATGTAACAAAAAGGATAGAAGAACAGCTGATAAATTGTTATAATGGATTGTTGAGAATCAAGTGTGAGGAAGAAGTCTCACATTGATTATAAAAGGGAAGATTGAGCACTTATATATGAGAGAACTCACTCATCTATCACCTTAAGGTTTTAGATGGACAAGTGATGTGTCTCTCATATAGGTGTGTCCCAAGTAAAATACTCTCTCCGCAGAAACACCCTGTGTTCTCTGTTTCGGAGATCAAAAGGAGAAACAAAAAAAATCTCAAAAAATAAAAAAAAATAATACTCTCCCAATTTTTCACATATATAAGGAAAAAAACCCTAATAACAATCACAACCAGCACTAATCTCTTTTGTTACTACTCTTTTTCTTGAACAAATGGCTGCGATTTCATCCTCACCTAAGAATGTGGTTCCGGTGGCATTTAACGGTGGTCTCGGTGTTGGGAGATTCGAGAATGCGTCTCTGTATGTTGGAGATCTTGATGGGAATGTGAATGAGGGTCAGCTTTATGAACTGTTCAGTCAGATTGGTCAGGTGGCTTCCATTAGGGTTTGTAGGGATCAGAACAAGAGATCATCGCTTGGCTATGCTTATGTCAACTTCTCCAATGCTCATGATGCCATTAATGCAATGGAGCATTTGAACTTCACTCCTCTGAATGAGAAACCCATTCGTATTATGTTTTCTCATCGAGATCCTAGCATTCGGAAAAGTGGATTTGCAAACGTTTTCATTAAGAATTTGGACACATCCATAGATAATAAGGCACTGCATGATACCTTTGCTGCCTTTGGACCTGTGCTCTCTTGTAAGGTAGCTATTGATGACATTGGTCAGTCAAGGGGGTATGGGTTCGTTCAATTCGAAAAGGACGAGTCTGCAAAGAATGCCATTGAAAAATTGGACGGTATGTTGATAAACGATAAAAAAGTTTATGTAGGATATTTCATTCGGCGCCAGGAAAGGTCAGGAAATGGATCACCTAAGTTCACTAATGTTTATGTGAAAAACCTTTCTGAAACATACACGGATGAGGACCTTAAACAGCTCTTCAGCCCCTATGGTGTAATAACAAGTGTTGTGGTTATGAAAGATGACAATGGGAAGTCTAGATGTTTTGGTTTTGTGAATTTCCAAAACCCCGAATCCGCTGCTGCTGCAGTTGAGAGTCTGAATGGGACCGCAACAAATGATGGAAAAATTTTATTCGTGGGGAGGGCTCAGAGAAAATCAGAAAGGGAGGCAGAGTTGAAAGCCAAATTTGAGCAAGAAAAGATAAAAAGATATGAGAAATTACAAGGTGCTAACTTGTACCTGAAAAACCTTGATGACAATCTTAATGAAGAAAAGTTGAAGGAGCTATTTTCCGAGTTTGGAACAATAACATCTTGCAAGGTAATGTATGATGTCCATGGTCATAGCAAGGGCTCTGGTTTTGTTGCCTTTTCGACTCCTGAGGAAGCTAGTAAAGCTATGAATGAAATGAATGGCAAGATAATAGGACATAAGCCCCTATATGTTGCTGTGGCCCAGCGCAAAGAAGAAAGGAAAGCTCGTTTGCAGGCTCAATTTTCTCAAATTCAAGCACCGGGTGGAATCGCAACTTTGCCTGGAAGAATTGCTGGATATCATCCAAGTGCGCCAAGACTTGCTCCACAACAATTGTATTTTGGTCAAGGAGCACCTGGTATCATTCCGCCTCAGCCAAATGGATACGGTTTCCAGCAACAGCTCATGCCAACTATGCGATCCGGCGTTGCTCCTAATTTCATCATGCCATACCACCTTCAGAGGCAAGGTCATCTTGGACCTAGAATGGTGCGTCGAGTTGGTAACTTCCAACCGGTGCAACAAAATCAGCTGCCCAACCGAAATTCAAACCAAGGGTTTAGGTATAATGTTCGGAATGGCGTGGATTCTGTAGATCCCGAAGGTCTCCCGGGTCAAATGATGGATACATCTGTAGTTGCTGTTGCGTCTCCTGTTAACAATCAGCGTCATACTGGATTGTCTAACACTTCTCTTACTTCGGCTTTGGCGTCTGCCACCCCAGAAAATCAACGCTTGATGTTAGGTGAGCATTTATACCCGTTGGTGGGTCGTCTTACCTCAAACAGGCAATGCAAGTCCTCCGGGAAGCTTCATCCGGTTCTGAAGTTGTTGATCAACTTGGCTCGATGAAGGAATGAAGTAATGTTAGTCGTAGTGGTATCATGTTTTGGAGTTTTGGCTTCCTTAATTTTAAGTTTTCATTTTTGTGTTTTTGAAGTTTTGATTTAGATTTTTTGAGCCAATAGATGGTATGGTAATAAGGATTTTATTTGGAATTAGTTGACATTAATAATTTTGAAAAGGGATTTCGGATTCCCTTTGTTTAGACATTTTTTCGAATTGTCAAGTGCATCTAGTCTGGATTGCGCCTTGATTGGAATTAATTTTTGTTTCAGCAAGTGCATTTAGTTAGGATTGTGGAATTCAATCTGAAGATGCTAGCTCTCAATTCTGTGGGAAAAAACTCACCCATGGTTTATAACTAGCTTTCTAATTGATCGAAAAAAAAAGAAGAAAAAAAATGCTCTCTCCTCGGAATTGCCCCTACAATGGTATCATGAGCCTTAGGTTTCGAGATAGGGACCGGCTAACTTGTATCGAGCGATGGTACAAGTGTATGTGGAAGAGAGTCATTCCACATGAGGGGGAGCATTGTGACTCACACTTGAGGGGGAGTGTTGAGAATCAAGTGTGAGGAAGAAGTCCCACATTGATTATAAAAGGGAAGATTGAGCACTTATATATGAGAGAACCCACTCATCTATCACCTTAAGGTTTTAGATGGACAAGTGGTGTGTCTCTCATATAGGTGTGTCCCAAGTAAAATGCTCTCTCCTCGGAATTGCCCCTACATGGATGTCATGTGGAAGAATAAAAATGATATGGTTTGGAATAACGAGAAATATGAGGTTTTCAGACTTGGTCGGTTTGCTTTTCTCCAGTGGCAGGAATAATTTTTGGTCCAGCAAGATCAGATAACAATAACAGACAACATAGTTTGTTATCTTGGATTCCAACTCCTTTGAATTGCCTCAAATGTAACGTGGATGTTGGTTTCAACAAGCACTTGGGAACTTCGAAGTGAGGGTGGTATGTTCAAGATAACTCGGACAGTTTGGTTACTGCAAGTGTGGCTTGGGATGTCGGTAATCTCTCTATTATCGAATCGCAAGCCTTAACTCTCAAAGAGGCTATTCAAAGAGCTATAAATTTGCATCTTGATCGAGTTACTTTTGAAAGTGATTCTCTCATAGTGGTTCAGGCTTTGCGATCCAATCATACTGGAAATTCGGGCTTTAACTTAATCATAAGAGTCATTAGATCGTTGTTACTTTTTTTTTCCAACTTTGAGGTAGAGTTTATCAAACGTCAAGCGAATATGATTACCCACTCGTTAGCGAAAACGGTCAATTCTTGGTCTAGACATAGTTTCATTCATCTTATTCCTCTTTATATTGAATTGTTGATTATTAATGAAATGAGTTAGTTTTGCCGTTGTCACAAAAAAATTGTAATCAATTATTTATAAGAATAAAGATTTACGTTAGTTTCTATTCAAGTTTTTCTCAACCTCGTGATATATCATCTCATTTTCTATAAATCTTATTCCAAGTTGATAGCACCCTCTTTCTCAAATATGATGTTCATGTCATACATATTAACTTAAAGCATATGGCATATTTTTTTACTTAAATACCTTGTTCAAATTTTGTTGATATGTGGCTCAGGCAGTTTTTATGCCGAAAGGAAGTATTTATAGTAGTAAATACTACTATAAATGTTGAGGGAATAAAGGCCTGTTGATCTCTGTCATGAACATCTTTTTATGATCGACCGAATGCATTTCTATTTTGTCATATAAAGAATACACTTTCATGAAAGACTAACACATGCATGAATAAAATAGATATCTGTAACACTGATAGCCACATAAGTTTACTTTAGAACATTATCATGAAACATGCAAGCGAAGAGAGAAACATAAATATAACTTTGAAAGCAAACTACCAACAGTTCTCAATACATTATATAAAGACTGTGTGCTAGTTTCCAGTAGAAACTAACAAAGTCAGCAGCAGCAGCAGCAGCTGACTCAATCAATAGCAGCATCTGACTCAAATTAATCAGAGGTTTCTTCGAGATCTTCTTGAATAACTTCATTTGGATATAGAGAAGGTTTTGGAGGCATTTCAATATTTTCAATATCTCCTTCAAGCATCTCTATTACTTTGTCCATTGAAGGCCGGTCACTTGGTTTTAACTGTATACACCATAGTGAAGTTATGAACATCTTTTTCACATTAGTCATTTCTTCATTGGTAATTTCATCCATTTCTATGTCCTTTTCTTCAACCAATTGATTGTAAATCCAAAAAGGATAGAAAAGTTGGCTTGAACGATCTGCGTGTGGATTTAAATTTCTTCTTTTACTTGCCATTTCCATCAAAAGCATTCCAAAGCTATATACATCAGCCTTATAAGAAACTCCTCCAATATTTTGATAAAATAATTCAGGAGCCATATAACCAATTGTACCTCTTGCTGCCGTCAAAGTGACAATGCTAATGTCATTAGGATAAAGCTTCGCAAGACCAAAGTCTGAAACTTTAGGGACAAAGTTGTCGTCCAAAAGTATGTTATGTGGCTTGATATCAAAATGCAAAATTTGCATGTCACATCCTTGATGTAAATAAGCAATCCCACGAGCCACTCCAAGAGATATGTCAAACATTTGTTTATAAGTTAGAGTGATGGCATTCTCTCTAGAAGAAATATATTTATCAAGAGAACCATTGGGCATGAATTCATAAACAAGAGCTCGTTTTGATCTTTCCACACAAAATCCAATAAGTCGAACCACATTGGTGTGATGTATTCGTCCTATGGTTGCGACTTCATTGATAAAATCTTGTCCATTACCCTTTGATTTTCCCAACATCTTTATGGCCGCAAATGGCCCACTGCGAAGCTTTCCTTTATATACAGCACCAAATCCTCCTTCACCCAACTTATCTTTGAAACTTCTTGTCATGTTTTTTATTTCTTTGTATGAATACCTATTTGGCATTAAGGTACTCCTTCGAAGAAAAACTTCAATATTTTCATACATCGACATGTGACTTTTCCGATAGATATATATCAACAGTATAAAGAAAACTATAACACCCAATACATATCTTGGACCGAAAAATGGCAAAATATATCTTCCTGTCACTCTTCCTAACTCAATGGAAATTTTAAAATCTATGTTTTCCGGTTTTGAATGAGAGCTTTTTAATATTCCAAATATTTGTAGTACTCCTGTGATATGATTATATGAAGGAAAAATAATTAATACAAAAAAAAAAAAAACATCGCATGCTTTGCAAACCAAATGAATAACTAATTGAAAAATATACATAATAAATTTTAAACAATAAGCTATTTTAGTATTTTATTAATTTTATTATTAAAATAATAATTTTATTGATTAAGTCCAATCTATAAAATTTAATAAAAAAATATGACATTTTATTAAGTAAGTTAATTTCAATGGATGATATATACTATTTTTAATAATACAATGTTTAGATTAAGATATACTTCATTTCATTCCACAATGAGTAACTCAGTTCACTATTTTATACAGATTAAAAAAAATGTATGAAAGTAAGAGAGAAAATAATGTTTTTATTATACTACCCTTGTCATGTATTAAAAATGATAAATTTTTTATTAATTAGTGGATAGAATTGGAAAAAGTGTATTGAAAATTGAAATGAATCACTCCTTTTAGAACACTATTTTATTTTAAATAGGTCACTCATTATAGGACGGAGGGAGTATTTGATAAGACTGGACTTAGACCGTTGGTCGAAGTTGTGGCAGTACAATGGAGGGTGATAATACCTTATTGGTGAGTTCATGATTGAAAAAATCGTGATGCCGATAATAGTGTTGTCCTCATTCACTTTTATATGTCTTTTGATGTTTTGTAACATTTTTTGATTTATTGTATTTTGATTTATTGTAACATTATTTTGTAACGACGTTGTCGATTCGTTTGTAATTTTAACAGTTGTAGATTTGTATATTGATTCACCGCCTACATTTCATAAAGATTTGGATTCATCAAAGTGTGTTTTTATTATGAACAAGTTGTGGATCTATGTGTTTATAGGTATGAATCTGACGAAAGATCCCTCTAATACTTTGATGACGACCACGATAGTCAAGACAACTTTCCATTCTAATGATGGTGTACTGAATAAAATATTATATGACATATCAAACAAAAGGAGAATCAAGATCAAAGTGCTTATATATGATCTGAAGAAATCTAGCAAAGATTCCTCAAGCCTCAGATAAATTGTGAAAGTTTACCAGGTCATGTCTATCAGTTTGTCCGAGTGACCCGAGTATTGTAAAAGTAAGGGAGTAACTTAAAAGTACTAAGGCAAATCACACACATGAAAAATTTTCTTAAATATTTTTGTCGTGAAAATCACATTCTAAGTCAATCCGGAGGATTAAAAAGTTGTCAAAACCATTTCAAAACTATTTTTTTAACTACCCAACCAGTTTGTGAATGGTGCTAATTCATTGGGAAAACTTTTCTGGTTCAACCAATCGATTTGGAGCATTTAGCCAATCAATTGAAGAATGGCAATCGATTACTAAAGAACTTACGACAACACATTAATATCTTGCAACAATGATATATATATATATATATATATATATATATATATATATATATATATATATATATATATATATATATATATAATATTTCCATTTTGGACTTGTTAATCAATTAGAAATGAGTTGGAAATTTGATTGGAGCCTTATGCCAATCGATTTTCCATTAAATAATCCCATAGATCACTTCCGTTTTTGAATTTTTCAACTACTATACAAAGGAGGCTCATCTCCACTTCAATTTAATAGCATTTTTCAACGTTCTACTATTTCTTTGAAATTTATCTCTCTAAATTTCTTTCTCCCTCTCTCTAGAGAATACTTCTATCACTTAGTATTGCCTTAGTGTTTGTAAGTGAAGCTTTAATTGTGTGGAAGAACTTTTGTAAGTGGTTGTGTTATCTGTTAAATTTTTTGGAGTATGATACTCTTGAGAAGATTTAATTTAGTTCTTGAGATTAACCAGTCATAAAATCTATGTTGTGGTTTATTGAGCTATGTGCGAAAAAGTTGTGATTTTTGGATATTGAGATCAACCTGAAAATCTCTAAGAAGGTTATAGATTAATCTATGGTAAAAGTTATTTGTGGTTAGGGATAAGCCTGTGAAAATCTCAAGATTAACTTGTATAACTTTTCATGGGCATAACCAATAAAATCTCACAAAGTTTATAGTTAAAATCTCAAGAAGACCTCTTAGAGATAGGACTAGGCCAACATTCGGCCAAACCTGTTTAAATTTCTATTGCAATCTCTCTAGATCTACTCTTTTAATTTCCACAATTTATTTTTTGTTATATAATTTCCATTATGTTTTACTCAAACAAAATTACTAATAAGATAATAATCGAGAAAATGATAAAATGAATCATGTTTTTTAGATACATGCATTCACCCCTCTTGTGTTTGAAGTAACTTGTTCAAGAAGTGGCATCAGAGCCTAACTCATATAAGAACTAATAATCTCAGGAGAAAAAATGTCTTCAAGCTATTCACTAAACATATATTCATCCTTTAATGGAGAAGGGTATAGTTTGTGGAAAGAGAAAATGAAAATTTTCATAGAGGAAACAAATTGTGGTATTTGGAAAGTAATGAATGAAGGACCATTAGTCCCTACACACAAGTTTGACAGTGTGGTAGTAGATAAACTTGAAAAGGATTGGTCCAAAGATGACTGAGAGAATGTGCAACATGGTTTGAAAGCAAAAAAATATCATTATTGTAACTTTCTATCTTGAATTTCTGTGAGTCTCTTACTCTAAAACTGCTAAAGAAATATAGGACATCAATAAAATTACTCACAGAGGCGCTACTGAGGTAAAGAGGGAAAGGTTAGGCACATTAACTTGTGAGTATGAACTCTTTAGAATGAAACCTCAAAAGAACATAATTCAAATGCAAATGTGATTCACTCATATTGTGAGCCATATGAGAACTCTAGGAAAATCATTCTCAAATGAAGAATTAGTCCTAAAAATTCATAGATGCTTAAATCGTAGTTGGAAACCCAAAGTCACTTAAATTTGTGAATCTAAGGATCTAGTGACTATGGAAACACATATCCTTTTTGCTGAATTACAGGAACATGAAATGAAACTCAAAAGACTTATCATCGTTGAAGAAGGAGAAAAACAAAAACAAAAATATAAAGCTTAAAGCACAGGAATATGATTCTAAAGGTAACATAGATCTCATAGTAAAGAACATCAAAAGATTTATCAAAAATGAGAAAAAGGTAGAACAAGAAAAAGATGCAAAAAAAGCACCATTTGTTCCAACATGCTACAACTATGGAAGGAAATGACATGTCAAACCATATTGTCCTTTCATCAAGAAGAAAAAACAAAATCTCAGAAAAACTTAGAAAAATAAAGCTTATGTCGCATAGGAAGGCAGTGATATGGACTTCTCAGATGATGAAGTAGAAAAAGCCAACATCTGTCTAATTAAAAACCATCAAGACAGTGAGATAACATTTCATTTTTCCTATCATGACATATTTAGACTCTGTAAAAAAACTCTTCCACTTCAAAAGAAAATTATGAACCTAACTAGTGTGATAACTATGACAATTTAAAAGATAAAATTTGTGATCTTTAAAAAACACTTGTCAAGTTCAAAAAAGGAAGAGAAAATGTAGATATCTTGTTAGGAAATCAAACAACCTCCTACAACAAGGATGATTTAGTTTATGAATCAAAGAACAATAGTAAAAAAGGTCAAAAACACATCTCATTGTATAGCCTTAAAATGAAATTATTGTAATAAAGAAGGCCACATTGTTATTTCCCGTTTCATTAAAAAAGCCATGAGAGTAAGGAAGGACATCCTCCTTAATATTTCTATAACAAACACTATGAACACAAAGTTGGAATCTTATAAAACTCTGAAAATGTCTATATTTCCATGAAGAAAAACATTTATGAAACTAACAATCAAGGACCGAAGATGATATGAGTACCTAAAATTAAGAACTAACTTTCTCTCTTCATGAATACTTTGCATCCTCAAACACCAAATAGTATCTTGATAGTGGTTGTTCAAACCTTATGTCAGGTGACAAAAAATTATTCTCTAAATTCTTTCTCAAAGAAGGTGGATTTGTATCCTTTGGGAATAATAATTAGGGAAAGATTATAGGTTTTGGCACCATTGTTAAGCTCCCAAATCTAACTATTGAGGAATTTCTCTTTGTAAAATTACTTAAGCATAATTTACTCAATATAAGCCACTTATATGAAAAAGGTAACAATGTGACATTTGATTCTTCTAGTTGCAGCAAGGTCATAGAGTCAAAATCAAATGAAACTTTATTTACTAGCTAAAGAAGTGGAAATACCTATATAATAAACTTTAATAAAATCCCTTCAAGTGATGTATGTCTTCTAATTAAAGAGAATGAACCTTGGATATGGTATAAGAGAGTATTTAACATCCACGTGGATTATTTGAATAGACTAGTGTTAGAACATAGTTTGGTTCTACATCCTTGTAAAAATTTTGATGATAACAAACACATAAATATTAAATATGATCTCTAATAATGTATTTAAATATGCAGAGAAATTATTATTAAAGAAGAATAGAAGATGAGAGAGTTACGTGTTGAAGCTTTGTTTAGACATAACATGCTTAGAAGCAAATCTATGTAACACACTATAATGAAGAAGTTTTAATGTTACAACTTACGAATGCACCAACGCTGCGAGCAAAACTCTGATATTCTGATAAGTAAAGTTATCGAAGAACAAAAGCAGTCTCAACGCACTCATCTACTCATCTGTTCTAAAGATTTAGCACTTGAGCTACACTTTGCTTGTAAATACTCTGCTATGCAAAAGAAGCTCCAACGTATCATCCAAGTTCTAATGATCATCAAGAAACTCTGAGGATCTAAAGTCTCAACGGTAATATTCTTCTTCTGATATGATCCCAAGAAAGCAATGTTCTGAAGAGTTACAACTCCTTCATTACAAATCAAAAAGTAACGGCTGAACCAAGACAAGATCTATATTTTTGGAAAGTGCATTAACAACACTTTATCAACCTTTCAAAAGAATATTTTCATGTCTCTCATGCATCGCCTATTTAAAGAAGACTTGAAGAAGAAATCAAACA